ACGCGAAATGATACGAAATCGAATATATGAAGCCCCTATCAGAAAAGTAAAATGGTGTTATTCGTATTCCGCACCTTGGTTTTGGGAAGAACCAGACATTGAATTCATTCAAGGTCTTCCGGATAGATACGAAAAAGGGGATTTGATAGTGGTCGATGACCTGATGCATCGACTAAATGAGAAAATTGCCGATCTTTTTACTGCCGCCTCACACCATTGTGAAGTCAGCGTTATAGTGATATTACAAAACTTATTCCCTCGTTTAAAGGTTATGCGCGACATTAGTCTTAATGCGCATTATATCATTTTGTTTAAAAATGCAAGAGATGTCTCCCAAGTTAGTTGCTTAGGACGACAGTTATATCCTCAGAACTGGCATTTTTTGACGGATGCTTATATAAAAGCAACAACGAAACCCTTTGGTTATTTAGTTATTGACTTACACCCTCAAACATCGGAGGAGTATCGGATGCGCGAAAATCTGTTTCCAGATAAAGACGGAATACTGTGGTTATTTCGTCCGAAATGACGAAGAAGAATTTGAAAAAGCAGTATCATTTCTTGCGAATATTAGCTCATTCCCACCCATCGCAGAAACGTGCTTTGTTACAGACTGCAAATAAGGATCAAATTTTATCTCTCTGCGAAGTTTGTTTAAATATTTTGAATGGAAATATCCCCGTTAATGTACGTAAGCTGAAAAAATATAAGAATCTCTTAAGGTTGCTATCTAAAAAACACGAAAGCATACAAAAGAAAAAAAAAATTTAGTCAACCAATCGGGAGGCTTTTTACCATTGATTGCTCCGGCAATAATATCTGCCTTGGGTGGTATTTTAGGACCAGTTATTAGCAAACGACTGTAAAAAAAATTCTTAATCCCAATTTTGGGCTACAATGGCCAAAAGAGTGGCTCTCATACCCGAAGAATTGGTATCGTCTTATCATCTTCAGAAGCCAGAATTGAGATTGGAAGATGACATAGACACGTTATTAGAAAGAGCAAAATTACCCGACGACATGAAAGCAAAGTTGTTGGGGCAACTAATCACGCGGTATCACAGAACAGTGCACGCACCACCAGAACCTATACGTGTGAGCCTTGCGAATGAAGCGAAAGAAACTAAAGAAGAGAAGGGATTCCAGCAAGTGGAAGATCCTGTTATTAGGGATATTATTCTATCAACACCCCAGAAATTTTCTAGATTGGTGCCTCTGGTCGCCGAAAAATTAAAATCGAGGCTTTATTCATGGAACGATCGCGGAGAAATGATTCTTGACGGTAAAACGATTCAGGGATCCAGTATGGTGGATTTCTTTAATTACCTAATGAGAAATATAAAAAATGCTCAAGAGCCAAGGCATTTCGATGTATTTCTAAAGGCTATCGAAGAAATTAATATACCGCGCTCATGGATAGGGAATCAGAATGTGTTGTCTCGCATGAGAGATACCTCATCGCACTACCCCCTCACGGAAAATAAATCCTCGAGCGGCGAGGAAAATGTCTTTCGATGGCCCCCATCAAATGTGAAAGACTTCGATCATCAAACAAAAAGAAAACAGCAGAGATATAAAGTACAGCAGGAAAGAAGAGGGAGATCCCAAAGTCAAGCACCTTATAAAGAGGAATGGGAGGAGCTTTAAACGATGCCGACGCAATTTTAGAAAATATCTATTACGATGTAGAAAACCCCGCTTCGTATGGCGGAGTGGTAAGATTGGCTCGTGCCGCACAACTTCCGTTGAAAACGACGCGTCGATGGTTAATGAAACAGGATGCTTATACGTTACATAAACCAGTTCGCTTTAATTTCAAACGACGGAAGGTGTTGTCTTTCGGCATTGGAGAATTAATGCAATGCGATTTGATTGATTTGTCTAAGCTCTCTAAATATAACGATGGTGTAAAATATTTATTAACAGCAATTGATGTGTTTTCTAAACGCGGGTATGCCATTCCTTTAAAATCGAAGAGTGCAGATTCTGTACTCGAAGGATTTAAGAAGCTATTTAAGGAGACAAATTTTGTGGTGAATTTACAAACAGATGAGGGAAAAGAATTTTTTAATAAAAAAGTTCGTGACTATTTTAGAAGACATGGAATACATCATTATGCCTCTAACAGCGAATACAAGGCGAGTGTTGTAGAGCGATTTAATCGAACGCTAAAATCTAAACTCTATCGAATATTTACTTACACCAATTCCTACAGGTATGTGCATGTCTTGAAATCAGTTTTGAAAAGCTATAATTTGAGTATTCATCGTAGTACTGGTTATGCACCTGCCGACGTGAAGCCGGAACTAGAAAGTGAAATTTTTGAAAAACTGTATGGCTATAGCATAAAACCGAGATACAAATTTGAGGTAAATGACCAGGTGAGGATTTCTAAAACAAGGCGAGCATTTCGCAAAGGTTATTTGCCCAGTTGGACGGATGAGGTTTTTGTCATATATAAGAGATATCCTTCGAGTCCTCCGACATATCTGCTTAAAGATTTAAAAGGAACAGTTCTGAAAGGAAGGTTTTACGAACAAGAGTTACAAAAAGTATTAAAGAGTTCTCACGATTTCTGGAGAGTGGAAAAAATTCTGCAAACGAGAGGTGTCGGTGCTAAGAAAGAATATTTCGTCAAGTGGAAAGGCTTTGATCGACGGTTTAATTCGTGGGTGAAAGCGTCATGGATGAAATGACAGACGAATTCTACGTTACTCTACCCAGCAATGCGAGCATGCAGTATTTCCCTCAAAACAATCAATCATCTTATCGAACAAAACTCGCCTCTCCTCTGTTATTGAACGATTCTTGGGAAGTAGGTCTAACTGAAATTTTTATTCCACGAAATTGGTATAATGTGGGAGAGTATAATAATGACTATGTAATAACTAGGAATGTGGAGAAAAGCATTCCTATTAAATTTTCACGCCATACTTTATCATTTAATTATGGCGTTTTAGTTTCGGTAAACGCAGATGTTTCTCTAGAGGAATTTTTATCAAAACTGAATGATAAAATTAGTACCATTCTCGGTAGAGAGGACGCTGTGAAATTCGTTCTAGAACATGAAGGGAGGAGTATTCGCTGGGTTCTTGCAAATGGTTTCGAAGTACACATTTCTAAAAGAAAAGCTCCTAAAATGTTACAGATGTTTTACTTACCAGATGAAGATACTATTATTAAAAAATCTCAAGTGATGAGATTCAGATCAATAGCTGAAAATAAAGATCAGTTATTTTCAATCATAAATAGGAGCCCTTCTAGCACGAAACTGCATTTGATTCCGTTAACCTTAATAAAAGCAGATGTATCTAGGGGTCTCTTTGGCGACGTAGCAAAAAATATCCAAGATCTTAAATTGGAAAATTTTGTCACTTTCACCTACGATCAGACGAAGTCCCAACTAGAAATAAAGGTGTCAGAAAACACGGAGCTGCATATTACTCAAGAAAGAGCATCCTCCCTTTTAAGGATACTCGGCGTCCGCGAAAACCTTATAATTTCGCAAACGCGAAAGTTTCCTGTGCTTTTGCCCCTAACTGTGGAGGAGGGGGAAGCTGTGGAACTTATAATTAAAGGATATCCCGAAGTAACTATGACTGAAAAAGAAACTTTACATTTGCATGTCAGCGCAGGCGTATATAAATCACCGGAAACTTTATTTCGCGAATTTCAACACGTACATTTAAGACAATTAGCGAATTCAAAAGTGTTTTTAGAAGTTCCTCCAGAATCGGAGCTGGCATTTGGGAAAGGGCTGGCAGACATGCTGGGATTCGTCAACACCCATTTCAAGAGCGGAAAATATATAAGCGACTATCCTTTAGAACTGGACGGGGGCATTACAGAAATTTTTGTGTACAGCGATTTAATCGAATCACATCACGTTGGAGATGTGCATGTTCCGCTGCTAAGGGTTATTCCCTGCGTGAATGAAAAAAATGATCAAATTGTGAAGCATTATGAAAAAACTATATATTTTCCTTTGCGAAAGCACTATGTGGAAACGATAGAAATAGAACTGAGAACGAGTAGCGGGAAAAAAATTACCTTTACGGGAGGAAAAACATTTGTAGTCCTGTCTTTTCGCCGTAAGAAAACTATATAAATTGAAGATTTTTCAAGCTTTCCTCTCACTTTCTTAAAACATCCTTAGAGAAATGCACTTAAATCAGAAAGAGTGCGAATCCTATTATTGTGCTCAAGTTGGTGGTGGCGGTGGTGTTTACTTTCAAGGTATACCTCACCAACGAGGTTATGGGTTTTTTGGAGATTTGCGCCGATACATTACGCCGTTGGCACTTAGAGCCGGTCGTTATTTGGGCAAACAGTTGATGCAAACAGGAAAGAACGTCTTGTCAGATGTTGCAGCGGGATCGTCATTTAAGGACTCTGCTCGGAGCAGGTTACGTGAGACCTCTAATAAAATAAAAAGTGATATTTTTGAAAAATTACAGAGGGGAGAAGGTATAAAAAGAAAGCGCAAGAGGAAAAATCGTCAATCAAAGAGCAAGCGTTGTAAGACAAAAGCAGATATTTTTACATAAAGATTAATAGTAATGGAAACTCAGGGGGTTATATGCCTTAAGAGCGAATTGGATCTCTTTAATGGTGTCGCCGTACAACTGGGCATCGATTCCTCTTCCTTCGTGGAAATCCACCCCGTATCTTCATTGTCTGATAAGACGCCCATAGAATTTTACATTAGCGGTAATGGTGAACACTATTTGGATTTGGCGCATACGATACTACACACACGACTTAAAATAACGAAAAAAAAAACGATACCAATCTCACCGACGCCGACGGGGTGGCACCTGTTAATTATATTTTAAACACATTGTTTTCCGACTGTTCAATATTTTTAAATGATAAACAGGTTTCGTCACAAGTGAATTATTCTTATAGAGCCCTTTTGGAAAGTTTGTTGTTCTATTCCAAATCAGGTCAAGATAATCTACTGAGTGCTGGCTTATTTGCAAAAGATACTGCATCTAAGCATGATGTTGTGGGGAGACGAAAACGAAGGTTATACAACGCGTGCAAATCGTTGCAAGCTTAGCCAAAGCCTCGACCTCGTGGGACCATTGCACTTCGATTTGGCCACTCAACCGAAATTGTTAGTCAACGGGGTTAATGTACGCATTAAACTGGAAAGGCATAAAGATGTTTTCACTTTGATGTCGGCAAACGACAATTATAAAATTAGAATTCAGCTAGCAAAACTATACGTGAGAAAAGTCAGCGTGGCTCCCTCCATCCTAATAGCACACGAAAAGGCTTTAGAAAAAGGAGTTATTAAGATGCCCATTCGTAGGATTGACATAAAAAGTTTTGCAATATCGAGCGGTTTGCAATCGACAACTATAGCAAACGCTTTTATTGGTCAGCTACCCACACGTCTCATTCTAGGTTTTGTATCTAATGCCGCCTATAATGGAAGCATCAACAGAAATCCTTTTAAATTTCATCACTATAACCTAAACTACCTATGCATATTAAATGGGGGACAGATGATACCTTCCAAACCCTATCAGCCCAATTTCGAAAAAACATTTTATGGGCGAAGTTATTTAAGCATCTTTACAGATTTAAATCGATATCATTCAAGCCCCAACATTAATATCTCCTTTGATGAATACAAAGATGGGTATACATTATATGCCGTTGATTTGACTCCAGATATGGCATCTAATGAAAGCCAAGCCACGTAAGCATAAATAAGAGCGGAAACATAGCCATTGATATCAAATTTGCAGCGGCCTTGCCAGAAACAGTTACCCTGATAGTCTATGCTGAATACAGGAACATAATTGAAATAGACAAGTCACGCGGAGTCACGACAGATTATTAAAAATCATGGACGAAGTTTTGCAAATATACGGAAATGAAATTATCGAACTAGCTAAGGAGGCGGGTGCAGGCGAGGAGGTAATTCGAAGTATAGGCGATATGATGTTTTCCAATAAAATAGCGAACCTGCGCATTGCATTCTTTCTCGCTCGCTTTGCCGAAAAAATTATTGAAATTTTCCCATCAAAGAAACATCAAGTGTACGAAGAAGTGTTTAAAAGCATATACAGAAATATTCATTTCGAACAAAGGCGGTAATGGATACTTTAACTCTGTGTCAATATGCCTGTGGCGACAGTCGAATCAAAAAAACATTTGGAGGTGTATATCCTTCCGATTTCATACCCTTACGAAAGAGACATTACTCCTCATTTATAGTGAATTCGGATCCGCATACTTTACCTGGGAGCCACTGGATTTCGATATATATTTTAAGAAAAACAGCACGGCATATTACTTCGACAGTTATGGTCTTGCTCCATCTAACAAAAATATTTTAAACTTTTTAATGACCAACGCTAACAAAACATTTTATAATAAAATATGCTTTCAAGATGATACCAGTACATCCTGCGGAAAATTTGCTCTTTATTTTTTATTTTGTATGGTAAGAGGGTACTCTTTGAAGGACCTCTGCACGAAAGATAAGAAAAAAAATGAAATTTTTATTAGGGAATTTTTTTAAAAAAAAAAATTCAAACGTCGCCGCTGTTGTCATGCTTTTCATGCCAAGAAACAAAATTGTGTGTCTTTGATAAATATGCGTGTTATTCCTGCAAAACATCACTAACGCTTCAGAAGTCGACGATGGAACGTTACGGCTATTTGCACACTGGAAACTCCGAAAACAGTCCTGTTGAAGAAGTACACGTTGAAAAAATTAATCATTTTTTTTCTTTAAAAACCATAAGCGACTGCATTCGTAATGCTCTTTACGATGAAAACACTAGCGGGAAAGGAAATCGTCATTACCTGAAAATTTTGAAGAATGCCGAAGTGGTCAAGCATATTCATAAAGCTGACCATCAACCACAACAACAATATGGATATTGCTACTTATACATTCAAAATGAACAAATAGCTCTTTTTTCGGCATGTAGTAAATTATATAATAGCATGTTGGATTGTGTTTCTTCGAAAAAAACTGAATATGAAAGTGAATGTATAAGAGATGAAAGCTATGTAATTAAAATTGCTTACTTTGTTATTCTGAATGATGATGCTATTGTGCGAGAATTACATCGCACTTGTGTGTAACACAAACAATTTGATCAATAAAAAGGATTTTTTTTCTTTCAAATGCAATTTTTTTTTTTGTCTCTGAAAAAAAAATATCAGATATATAGATAAATAATACATTTTTACACTTATTTATGAGCTGCCTTTTTCTATTCCACTGTTTTGTTTTCCGGTAAAAGCATCTGCCTTGAAGAAATTAATAAAATGTAAATTCCTCCAAGAAGATACTAAAACCGGACCTCTTGGATAAGGTCCATTTTTTTATTTTTTTTCTAAAGGATTACAGAAGCTTAATACAAAATAATCATTCTTGTATGCATGATACAATGAAAAAATCAAATGAAACAAAAAACATATTACTGTTGTAAAATATATAAAGGTATCAAAAATTAAAATGAACATTTAAAAAAAATCAAAACGATTTTTCGATGTAAATCCAATATGGGAACTAACCCATTATTTTCATTATACCATGTGAGATGTTATATTGATAATACAATAAGTAATCAAATGAAACAAAAAGTACATTTCACATTATTACAAACATAAATGGAATCATTAAATATCAACAAAAATTTCTTTCCCTCCCCCCCCTCTTTTTCGTCGAAACATACATGGAGGGGGTGTTTATAAAATAAAAATGATAAATCAGAATATTGCCTTAATGTGTCAGTATTTTTATTCATATTCGACAGTTAAAAGAAAAGTTTTCTACATAACCTCCATAACAATTATTATAACAGTCATCATGGTTAATTCGCGAGACATTCGTGTATCAAGTTTACAAAAGAAATGCAACATAAATTCCTGTCGCAAATGAAATACAGAGAACTTTGCTTACATATCTCACACCAATTATCTTCATTTCGCATATAAGTATCAGAAATTAAAATGAACATTTAAAGAAATCAAAACGATTTTTCGTTGTAAATTTATATAGAAACTAACCCATTATCTTCATTACACCATGTGAGATGTTATATTGATAATACAATAAGTAATCAAATAAAACAAAAAGTACATTTCACATTGTTACAAACATAAATGGAATCATTACATATCAACAAAAATTTCAGGGTGTTTATAAAATAAAAATGATTAATCAGAATATTGCCATAATGTATCAGTATTTTTGTTCATATTCGACAGTTAAAAGAAAAGTTTTCTACATAACCTCCATAGCAATTATTATAACAGTGATCATGGTTAATTCGGGGACATTCGTGTATCAAGTTTCCAAAAGAAATGCAACATGAATTCTCGTCGCAAATGAAATACAGAGGACTTTGCTTACATATCTCACACCAGTTATCTTCATTTCGCATATAAGAAAGGGTATCCCTTTCATTATAACATAAGAAATGATTGAATTTTCTGAAAATTTTACATTTCGTTCTGGTAGTGTCTGTTTGACATCGTAACCACAATTCTAAACATTTGTTGCAGCTTTTCAAATAAATATTAGACTCATTATTTTGAACAATTACATGTTTTACAAATGTGATATGTGCAATCTTTAGGTGTAAAAGAAATATAACATCATCATCAAAGAAAAACCAGGCAATAAATTGTTTAGAAAACCACTTATTAAATCGAATTCTTTCATAGAGAGTTAAACTTTCATCCCAAAATACATCTCTGTTCTCTAAGGAGAAACTACTTTCAAAATCAATCCAGAATCGACCTTTCTCTATTATATCTCTTAAAATCATACGAGGAATATTCAGTTCTACATTATACAGTTCAGCTATACATAATATCGAAGATAAAATAGTTTGAATACACATATCTTGCAAAGAAATTGGTTGAAATAAAGCCATATCTTCTGGGTATTCTATGGGAGGGAAACACATTTTTGTTTTTTGTCGATCATTAGCATAAAAAAATATAAGTTGCAAAAATACAATGTCACACTCTACAATAAAATGTTACAAAAAAGTTCCATCATTTTTTTTTAATTCATGTCTTCTTCACGCGTGTTATAGTGACCATAAGACAATGATTGAATTCCATCATCTAACAAATATTTTTTGTCATAATATCCCGAGAGGCTAGCTTTATTTTGAAAAATCGTTTGCAGTTCGTGCTTTTTTGAAATGATTGAATATTGAGAATTCCTAATCAGGGAAGCATTTTCGAAAACGTTTTTATACGTTTCAAATCCAATGTTTTTGAGCGCGCTCCTTTTGATTCCTTTCGCGGTCTTTTTTAACAGTATCACCGAAACGAAATGCGTACATTTTGCATTTCAAACCCACAAATTCCGATATGGGGGTGAGTGTCTCACTTTTTAGAAATCCCAGTTTTCCACGGTTCTCTTCATTAAACATTATATGATTGGGTTCGAAATTACTGCAATCCAAAATATTTAAAAAATTCGTTTTTAAATCACTATATACATCTTCAGTTGTTATATAGAGATACAAAGAATCTGTATCTGTGTATAACAACTCGCATTTTTCTTTGTAAAAGTGTTTAAAATGGGAATAGAATAATTTATACATGTGCAACTTCGCTAATTCTAAAACGCTGAAACCTATATAAATCGGTTTATCTAGACACAAATTTGGATTTTTCATTTTGAAAACTGAAAAATTTTCATTAATTATTTCAAAATATTCCAGCAGAGGACTGTTTAATTTTTTTTGGCATTGTTCCTCACTAAAAACGCCCTGTACGCGAATACGTTTCCTAACATTTTGACAGGTTTTTCCATAGAAAGCGTTATTCATCTTTTTAAAGAAAGATTTTTCAAATTCGCTAGACGCATTTTGTCTTTTCATATTATTGAAAGCAATGTATTCTTTAAGCCACGCTCGTTGTTTGAAAGCTAAAATTCTATGAATTTTCTTAATTATTAAACCCTGTTCTACGTAAAACTTTAGATTTAAATAATGAGCGATGTAATTTTTTTTTTTTCAAAAAAATTGGGTAATAATTTTTTTGCATGGAAGTGTCGTCTCTAACTGAAATTTTTTGCTCAGGGTTTTGGCATAAGGCGATAGCATGTCAAAAGTGAGTTCAAAATGTTCCGGTGCTAGCGGTAAATCATTGTGTTGGTCATGCAGATGGGAGGGATATAACAGATCGGATTCGATAATATACCCCACATCACCGTCTTCAACACAAGACAAAATATCAAACGCCTCCACCTCATTTTCCTTTAACCAGTAAAAACCTCCCAATGGCAGGTGCTGGCTCATTACACACCCGTATAGATTATTTGCGTCTAAGGCTAAGATATAGGTGTGTGGTAAATCGGGTTTATAACTCTCGGGGATATAAGGATTATTTGCAAGAGCATAACGTCTACCCAGAAAACAAATACCTCCTCGCATTTGGTTTTCAAACCAAATGTATTGATTCACATCTCCTAGAAGCTCTAATTCAATTTTAGACGCTTTCAGTCCGGCATTCCACGTTAATTCGGCAGCCGTTATAAAATGTACAGGATCCAACTGGTAATATTTTAGAGCGGTGCGTCTGAAGGATAAAAATACTTCGGCTAGCAAAATAACATCTGTATTTTGATATAACTCTAAGTAATCGGCAAAAGTGTTACATCCAAACGAATGAAACACGTGTGTGGCATGTACATAATCTTCGTCGGAAACTGCTTCTC